GTGCGCGCTCACGGGGTCTGCGGACGCGCGACCTGGAGCTTCGTGCCAGGTGAGGGGGCGGCGGGGGTCCCGGGGGTACCTGAGTGGCTGGAGGGCTAGGCAGGTGGGTTTGGGACCAGCTGGCAAACCGTCTCCTTTCTCTGTCTCCTGTTATTTTGCTTTCCTGACACTGAAACGTAACAAATGAATTTAAAAGAATATTTCTGTTTCGTTCCCTTTTTTAGTCCGTTTTTGCCTATTAATTTTGAGCCTTGAAACTACAATGCACTGAGTGCTAAGTAGTGTCCTACTTTGGATTCTGGAACGAAAAAAGTCCTCAGTAGAAAAACTGAGGCGAGAGCCGGGGATTTAGCTTCGTTGCTTTGCCGCCTGCCTCGTGAGCGCAAGGATCCGAATTCTATCCGGGGTACAAAAACAAAACCTGAGGCCATCCTAAAACCAAATTTATGGTTTAGTGACTAGCTTGTCCTATACCAATTTCACAATTTTCACAAATGTATTCTAACGCTAACCTGTGATGAGTTTGGGTACAGACTATATAGGAGTGCTTAGCACTATTTCACAACTTACTGTAAATCTGAAATCCTAAAATAAACCACGCACATCCCACCAGCCAAGAGAAGCAGGTCATTGTTCATAAGTAGGGTTTGAGTTAGTCCTCCGCCCTGGCCGATAGGAAGTAGGTTCTGTTTGACCAAGTTGTTTGCTAAGCCTGGTTGTTGGGCTGCTGAGTGTGGACACGTCTACCGCACGTTTCCAGGCCAAAATCTCGTCCCTCTTCTTTCTGAGCATCGCGTTTCCTCGGATCACCTGTTGTAGATAAGCCACTCCCAGCGCCTGCGAAGACGAAGGTCAGGAGATAGGGCTGTTGAGGTGCGGTACGGGGAGGACTCCCAGGTAGGAAAAATCACACTGGCTCACCGGAGTCAGGAAGGCCACTGCTATCCCGACCAGGGCAAGAGACGGCATTCCTGGGGTGGAGAATGGCAGTGCCAGAGACTCCGGGGTCCTGCAGCAGGTGCCCTTCCTCTTAGAGGCACAGACTACGCTCAGGGAGTACTAAGAAATGAATCTGGATGTGAAGACCGGCGCCTTGTAGAAAACTGGTTGGTACTTAAATTCTATTTGCCATGGAATGTTTTAGGGCAAGGAAGGGGTATCTGAATGTATGTGTGGAGATTATGGCTGTGGCTGTCGGATGTAGGATAGCTTGGGTAGATCGAGTAAGGAACTATTGGTTTGTCCAGGAAAAGTATTAAGATGTTCAACCAGGGCAGTGGAGTTAATGGGTAAAGGGCAGTTGGTTTAGGGAGATTTTTGTGGATTGAGAGGAGTTGGCAGCTGAAGGTATGGAGAGACCAAAGAGGAAAGGGAAAAATAATTCCAAAGTTTTGGAGCGTGGCAGAAACAGAGTACTCAGGAGACCTGGGCTGCGGGTGAGAAAGATAATGATTTTGCTTTTGAGTAAGCTGTGTTTGAATTGCTAGCAGGATGTCCAGACGAGAGGTGTGTTTAGCAGTGGTAAGTGTGGAGGGTAAACACAGAGAAGAGACTGGAAGAGGAAACGGAGCCTACACTGGCTGATAGGAGGCAACTGGGGGAAAGGACGAGGATCTGATTTCTTGTAGAATTGAGGAGCCCAGGTGTTCCAGAGACCTGGCCTGGGGAATTAAGGCTCAGCTTCTGCAGAGGTGGAGGAGGTTGAGGAATGAGTCTAAATTTTGGATTTAGCAATTAGGAAGTCATCGGTCATTTTCCAGAGTTGCCTGTCATCTGTTCATTCTGTGTCTTTTCCTGAGTGGGTGGAGGGCTAGGCAAGGAGCCAGGTATGGTTTCCGGTCTAGGCTCTGCCACTTCCTACTTGTGTAATTTTGGGTGAGTCGTTACCCATGGACTGGAACAGAAAAATACATCTCAATACCAGAAGGACCCTTTCATTTCTGGCAACACCTAACAGTCTGGAGAATTGGTGGTCTGTGGCACTCACTTTGGAATATGGTGAAGCAGTAGTTTAGAGCTCTAATGGACCCCCCCATCATATTTAACCCCAGTCCCTTTGAGATTGGGTCTTGTTATGTTGCCCAGGCTGCCTTGAACTCATGGCCTTAAGCAGTCTTCCTGCCTCAACCTCCCAAGTAGCTGAGACTGCAGTTGTACACGACCATGCCTGGTTTAATACTCACAGTCTCATCAGTCAAGATCGATTTGACTACTGCAGTTCATTTCAAATACATCAGCCATGCCCAAAAGGACCCTATAGTTATGCTTATGTACATTTGGCTGTGACAGTAAAACCTCCCTGTCAACTGGAATGGACTCTGAGGCTAATGGAAAGGCGGTTGCGAATGGGGGCTCCATAGCCCTAGTGGGCTAATCCTCTGCTGCTCAGGGCCCAGTGTAGTGTCAGGGGTGGGGCCCAGCTGGAGGTGAATCCCTGGGTGCCTTGTGGGACTGTGGCTTGTAGGTGCTGGTCTCCTGGCTGCCCTGGGTGGAGTGGCTTCCCTCTGCGAGGCCCTTCTGCCGTGCTGTCTTGGCCTTGCAGCCAGTCAGCTGTGGACCAAACCTGGAACCATGAGCCAGCACAGCCTCGCCTCCTCTAAGTTTCAGGTGTCAGGTATTTCGTCCCAGTAATGAGAAGTGACTAACACAGGCCCTGAGAAGTTCAGTGCCTCGTCTGTGGTCAGGGTGTGGTAAGTGTAGTGAGGTTGGAGCCCAGACCTCCCGAGGCAGCGCCTTCTCTGTCCCCCTCCTGCTTCATCGCTGGTCACTAACATTGAGCACATTAAACTGCCTCCTCTAAGTTTCAGGTGTCAGGTATTTCGTCCCAGTAATGAGAAGTGACTAACACAGGCCCTGAGAAGTTCAGTGCCTCGTCTGTGGTCAGGGTGTGGTAAGTGTAGTGAGGTTGGAGCCCAGACCTCCCGAGGCAGCGCCTTCTCTGTCCCCCTCCTGCTTCATCGCTGGTCACTAACATTGAGCACATTAAACTGACTAGGTTAGTAATCCTATGTATTTCATTTTCTTTCCTTCTTTTTGGGGGAGACAGCATCTCGCTATGTTATTCAGGCTATCCTTGAACTCTCAACATAGCCCACACTGGCCTTGAGTGGACTTGAGCTCCCAAGTACTGGGATTGTGGGCACATGTTACCAAGCCTGGCTTCAAAGATATATATCTATACACACACACACACACACATACACTCAAACTTGGGTTCTTGCACTTGCAAGACAGGCGGCAGCACCACTGAGCTAAATCCCCAGCCCATCAAAGTTATATTTTTTTAAAACATTAGGAAGCTGGCGATATACTCAGTGACAGAGTATTTGCCCAACATACACAAGACCCTGGGTTTGATTCCTGGCATCAAAAAAACTAAGTCCAGAGCGGGTCGTGGTGGCACACGCCTGTAATCCCAGCACTCGGGAGACTGAGGCAGGAGGATCACTGTGAGTTCGAGACCAGTCTGAGCTACATAGTGAGTTCCAGGTCAGACTCAACTACATAGTGAGACCCTGTCTCAAAAAAAACCCAAAAAACCAACCAAACAAACAAAAAAAAAAAACAGAAAACAAAGTCCAATAGATGTGGTGTAGTAAAAAATATTCTTAGCTCACCCTGGATTGCTTAGTCTTTCCTCTTACAATGCTTTCCCCTTGTGTTGACCAATTCTGTCTTCTGTGCTGCTGGTCGCCCAATCCTGACCACATCATCCTTAATGAAGGAATGGAGCTGCACTTAATCAGCAGGATTAAGCTGGGCATGGCGATACACAGCTGTAATCCTAGCTTGTTGGGAAGCTGAAACAGGGGGATCAAAAATTTGAGCCTGGCCTGGGTTACATTATGACTTCAAGAGACACTGTCTCCCAAGAAAACCAGAAATCTACTGAATGGGCATAAAACATAGCCTCCAAGAAATTCTTCTTTGATTTAATAGGTAATCTCTTATCTGTTGTAACAAATTAAGACAGATATAGCTACTTTTTTTGTTTTGGTACCAGAGATTGAACTCAGGACCTTGCACTTGCAAGGCAAGCAGCGGAACCACTGAGCTAGATTCCCCGCCCCAGACATAGCTACTTTTAAAGAAAATAACCAAGTAAAACAACTACCATCATTTTATGAAGATTTGGAAAGTGCTGAGTCCAACAAGCTATACTGAGTATGGCTCTGGCTTGCTGTTTTAGAGATTTACCTTCAGTCCTGTTTAATGTCATAAATAATGAAAACTGGATATACTGTTGATCTCGCTGAAGTTCTCCAGATGGTATAAAACAGGGACTAAGAGTGTTAGCTCTGACTCTGGGAGTCTCAGTTCAGGATCCTCCACCTCCTGTTAGTTCTGTGGTCTCTGCTCTGATTTAATTGACTGCTCTTAACCCATCATAGTGTTGTCTCCCAGAGTGTGAAGAGAAAATAGAGTGATCTAAGTAAAGTGCTTGGCACTGGCCCAGCACATGGGATGAAAGCGGTAAGTCCTGAGTGTTACATCATTTCAAAAAAAAGTTTTGCTAATATCCATATTCACAGTCACAAGCAGGGCCAGGGAGTTAGCTCAGTGGTTCTGCTGCCTGCCTTGCCAGCTCAAGGACCCGAGTTCAATCCCTGGTACTGAAAAAAAAAAAAAAAAAAAAAAAAAAAAAAAGTCAAAAGGGGCATGGGAAAGGGTTTGCCAATAATTTTACTACTTTGGGAGGTCGAGGTAGGAGGATTGCCATTAAAGCTCATCCTGGACAAATTTGAGACCCTGTCTCAAAATAAAAAATAAAAGGGCTGGGGATGTAGCTCAGGGTGAAGGCCCTTGGTTCAATTCCCATTACCACAAAAAGATTGTGAATGAAAGGTTGAAAGGTATTAGGATTTTCTTTAAATTTTTCATATATCTAGGATTTTTTTTCTTTCTTCTTTTTTTTTCTTTTTTTTGGTTTTTTGAGACTGTCTCACTGTGTAGTTGAGACTGACCTGGAACTCACTATGTAGTCCAGGCTGGTCTCAAACTCACAGCCATCCTCCTGCCTCAGCCTCCCGAGTGCTAGGATTACAGGCCTGCACCACCACGCCCAATTTAGGATTTTTCTGTATACCATAACTGGATATCTTAGTTGAACAAAGACAGTTATACTTTTTTAAAGATCATTGGAAACTTGAATTTTATACAGTTTTGTGATGAGTAGGATTATTTTGTGCCACTTACCATTTCTGATGTATTGTAGAAAATGTGAACTGCATAAATATATGGCACAGAGCTCTGATAGTTCTGAAAGTTCTCCTTTAGGCACGGAGTTGTGAAAATTTCAATGTGTATTCTCAGATATATAAATGGCTGCTTCTTCATAAAACTGTCTGCTTTTTAAAACTGGATGTACAGAATTTTCTTCTGTTAAGAATCTGTGTTCCTTAATGAGAACTGTGGCCGAAGGAATATGCTTCGGTGAGTCAGTCAGTGGGGAGGTTGATTAAATCTGCCAGTTTTGTAATGTGCCTGTGTGCTGGACATAAGTTAATGCTGCCTTCCGCAGTGTGGGGGTCAGAGCTCTTCTCTCTAGTCCTTGTCTCATTAGACTCCAGAATAAGTTCTAAAATCACATCCAGAAATATAGTACGTGCTGGATACCGCTTACCATTACCCTTTCTTGTTTGCTTCAAGCAGACCTGTCACTTGAGCTTGGCATCGCAGGCTTGATTGGATTAATTACTGCTTGGAAAAAAGACACTGTGGAATTAAGTCTTTTTGATTAAGCCTCATTTCATTTGAGTGCTCAAACGCTGCTTTTTTGGGTTTAAAATACTACTCATAGTTTAATTTTCAATACTTGTGTCTTGCAACTTGATCTCTTACCTAGGATTGGGGATTTTGGACTTAACATGGAGTATAAAATCAATATGTGTACATTTTACTTTTGATGTGCTATTATAAGGAACTCTGAAGTGTTTTATAAGATGAAGCTTTAAAATGTTAAAAATTTTTTTTTGCTAATTTAGTGGGACCATTTTAGTTATATTCCAGGTGAGCACAACCAATCAACTGCTTTTCTTCTTGTCCCTTAATCCTTTGTGTGTGTTTAAAAATTTCTAACATATCATTTAGGTATAATTTACATAGA